TTATATTACTAATAAGTCTTTTCTAATAAACATTGAAAATCACACAAACATTTTTCATTTCTTAGATACCTATTTCCAAGGTGTGAGATTAATTAAATGTCATCAAATATCAGTTTTTTCGTAAAATGTAATCTTACAATAAATGTCATTTCAAATCTGTCAAACTTAATAATTAACCTATTAAATTTACAATTGCATTTCTTTTTTAGCAAGCTGTACTTTTCTATTTTGGATGACGTCACGTGGCTCTTAATGTGACAAAGTTCCTGCGCATTAGCAATTTGCGAGTATAATAAAGCGGAGGGCATTGTGTTACTGATGTCTTCTAATCTAGTGTGTGTAATATAATATTATACACTGAGTTTTCTTTCTTTTTGACAAACCTTTAACCCATATATTCTGCACTTATTTCTAGACGATTTGCAAAATATAAACAAAAAATATTCAGTGGTTTAGTAACAGGACATTTTTTTTATTTTCCTGTGTGTGTGGTAGTGCCCTTTATCCACCGTAACCGCCCAACTAAAGATTCAGTATTCAGTAGCATTCTCCGTTCAAGATCTCTGTCGCTTTCAGTTGCCTGGTTAGATGCTATAGCGCCTGTGTCAAAAACCGTTGACACCGACGCTTTTGATATTGTGTCAATAGAGTCGTCATCATCTATACATCTATAATTTATAAAAGTATATAAAAATGTTGTTTTGTGAACGCTTCAAAAACTCTGCACCGATTGATTTCAAACTTTGACACGATATACAGCAAGCTTCAAAGATGGTTTTTTACTATTTTTTGCTACATTAATGTGCCACAGCAAAGCGTTGCAGGGTACAGCAAGCATTTTATAAAAACTGAATCAAACTAGGCTTTTTTTCCTCGGATACCACCCACTGGTGGCTATGTCGGCCTCGAACTGACTAAAAACCGCACGCCGTCTCGGGTACCACGACGTACGACGGGTAGATGACCCACTCCTGTGTGGGAACCCCCATGTTCCCGTTATGCTCCCGAAGGCGCGCGCGCTCCACAACGCGTATAGCCGCCACCCTGCCCTGCTTCTGATAGTGTGAAAGATGGCCTCACCTGCCGACCCCAGGTCTGCTCTTATGGAGGACGGAGGTCGTTCTGCGACCTCCGGCGCCTGAGTCGTCTGCAGTACCTGGCGCGTTCCCGAGCCTGGCGTGCCGGGAGAGTTCTAAACCTCTCCCGGTCGCGCTCCGCCATCTCCTTCGCAAGCATAACTTGCTCGCAGAAGGAGACGGCAGAGAGAACTCCCACTCCGATGCCCACCACGAGGTCACACTCACATCGAGCCCTCGATGTCGATGCGAGTGCCTCCTACCATGAGGCTGGATCCCTCAGGTGGCTTCCTCCGAATAACTCGCCTGATTCTATTTGATCACGGCGAAATGCAGGCCATTTAAATTAGATAAAGATGCTTTGACCAGGCCTTTAGTAACAGAAATGTTGCATCTCAAAATGTTGTGATCCCACTAAAAAACACCATTAAACAAAAACAATAAAAAGCGAAAAATAGGCAACGATACATAGGTTAACCATAGGCACCTTGTTGGACGATATCACATTTTGTTTTGAATACCTACAAGGTGGTATCTAAGCCCACATATCGCTATAGGTATACCTACATAACGATATCTATGTAGTATCTACTAGATCGGTTTTTGTGCACTTTTGCCTAAATTTTAGTTTCATGGGTTCCGTCCATAGAGAGCACTAAGTGCAGAGAAGAGAGCTAAGTGGTCTGTAACCTACTGATTCTAAAGGTTTTCGAATCTTTATTCTATTATTCCTTGTTTCCACTTTAATGTCAGACCGGTAGGATCACCGTGGGTGTCACTACACAATAAGAATATGACAGAGGTGGAGAGAAGGAATTCTCAGGAATGTGTTGTTTAACTTTTCAGAGCTGTAGTTTAACTTTTCGCTCGAAGAATATCAGCAATACGTGAACCAAGGTATTTAAATAATGTGTCCTGCCTCTCTTTGCATACAGTATGGAGTCCACGACTGAACTGAACTACCACTACGTATTGCAGAGCCATGGAGAGATCGATGCTTCAGAGAAAAATTATAGATGTCGTGCAGGAAACGGAACGCCGGAAATGGGGATGGACTGGATACTATCCTAGACTGGTCCAGTCGACGGATTCGGAGAGTACTCGAGTGGAGATGAAGACCCCGAGCAAACACCCGTGATAGATGAAGACCACCAAAAAGATGGGTTGATGATCTGGGGGTGAACCGGGTGGCGACAATAGGGAATATGCACGTGACACCAAAATGGACAAAATATTTTTATTTGTAATTTTTATTGCTAAAAAAGATACCCACACAATTATTTTTTTAATTTATTATAATTTAATAGTGAAATTTAATCATCAAAAATTGTTTTTTTTAAGATTCCCTTGCAAATTTCTAAAACGCAACGCTATTGGTTGAATAAAACGTGACGTCAACCTACACTGTCAAGAGTGTCAACAAGTTGTGTGTATTTGTAATACTTGGTTTCTGGTGATTATTTGTTTCATTTTAAGTGAATAACTAATACGTTTTCAGTGTTAAATTATTAAATTCCCGTGTAGAAAGACTCAACACAATGACTGAATATACTTTGTCAGGTGCAGTTTTGATATTATTTGGGCACAAAGGAACGGCACAATATTTATAATAAGTTTTTATTGGCTTTCCATGGTAATAAATTAATTTTTATCACTCACTTTTTTAACTTTCAGAAACTTTGTGAACTTCACTCCTTTGTTGACATCGAATTCGTCTGAAAGTGTAATCTGACGTCACAAAAATGCGCGCCAAAATGGAGGTGTTCAAATTGCCCCAAAATGATAGTGATTTTAATAAAACAATTTTTGCTTAACGGCTTATATTTCGGATGTGTTATTTTTATTTTTGGTAATGTAATAACTAGTAGAATCGTTAAAAAAAATAAAAAAAATACATGCATATTCCCTATTGCTGTAATTTCGAAATCTATAAAAAGTCTACATTTTTACTTATATTTATTTTTTTGTAATTTTCTTATACATTTTTTTTATTAAATTTACAAAAAAGAGTTGTTTTTAAAACAACACACAACAACTCCCGAACTATGAATACATCCTGTGCCGCGGGGACCTCATAAACATTCATGAAATGGACATAAAAAACACCCAGACGCAGAACCATTTGTGGATCACACAGTGTTATCCATGTGAGGATCGAACCCACAAAACTCGCAGTAGGAAGCGGCAGAGTGACCGCTTGAACCACTACGACATCCGGTCAGTCAAAATCGAAAAATACTACTTTCTTCATTTAGTTATGGTTAGTAAGAGTGGCCCAGGACTCAATTTACCTCTCCTTTGCCCGAAAATAATTGTCTTCTCAAGAAGGTTTGTTGTAAATTACGGTCGGCCATAAAATAATCCAGCCTAAAACTTACAATTTTGGGAAAACGGATGATGACGATCGATGCTATTAAAAAAAAACATACAATTATGTCATATAAATTGTATTTAATATAAAGTTTATTTATTTACTTACAAACTAATTGCCCAGTCCACATATAAAATATCAACAATTATATATCTGAAAAATATACATGTACAACAATTCTCACATAACAAGCTTTCTCTTTTTAAATAACCTAACCATAAGGTTAAACTATTAATAATAATAGTCCCAAGTACCTCGATTGGAAATATATACACTTTGTGAAGAATATTGTATAACCTGCTACAGTTACACAAAGCTTTAACGATGTGCTGTGAAATTTTTCATTACATTATTTGAATTTACACCAAGTGCAAATACAAAAAGTTATTAATATCTAGTTTTTCTTTTGTTAGCATGAATATTTTACATTATCCCTCCATTCACTTATATGACTCACGTATTTGGGTTTGTGAAACTTGTGTCAACAGTGTCCCAAAATAATTAGTCTCTGGAAGCATTTGTGCATTCTTTGTCTAAGGCTTAGCAGGATAATATTGTTACAAATTGATAAAATAAATGTAACTATGCTCTTTTGATAAATACCTCACGACAGATTAGTCGTATTTGTGCGTAATAAGTATCTTATCAAATCTAACATTAAAATATGGTACTGCTCATTCCTTTCATGAGAGCGCTTATTATATTCATCAGGCCAACAATTATAAGATTAACTTTCAACATTATACAATCAATGAGTCAAAATCTATGTATATAATGTAATCATAGGATATTTACATAAAATAAGTCGTTGAGGTTTTTTTTTTTAAGAATTATGTGTGGGCAAAGACAGTTGATTATATGAAATTACATAATGTTCCAAAACCGATAAAATTAAATACACTAATTAAACTACTTGATAAATACTAATACGTAAAAAACACAGTGTCAAGATCATTAAAATTTGTTTTCCTGTTTTCTGTTTCTGTTTTCTGTTTGCCAAGAACTTTTTATTAACGTTTATAGTATTGAACAAAAATTTTTTCATCTAAGTTACTCTAAAAGGCCTGGATCGGTCTTATATCATTCCGTCATCATAAGTATTCCATGAAATAAATTGCAATACCATATAAAAAAGTTGATCTTTTTATACTTTGATGTGGCTTATTGTGCTCTCCAAAGCTATGCCAAAAGTGCTATCTTGATAAATATTGATTACAAAAAACTACCAATAGAAAAATTAGACGTCAAGTGTACAGCAGCATAGTCACAATAACTTAGAAAGGCTTATACCTTAATATTGATATTATAGATACTATATAAACATTGTCTCTAGCATTTATATATTATTCTAATTTTTTATTAAATGAGGAACAAAAATATTGTTTGGTTACTGATAGCGAAACTAGGAAGCATTGCCTAAATTACAATGTTTATATAATACGCGTATAATTAAATGTATACGTATTCATCACAACAGATATATAAATATACATTTATAATCACTCGACTCTACTCAGTCAAGGAATTTGTCTAGGTAATAACATGGAAATGCTTTAACTCCATACGTCTGCCGAATATTTTTTCATCGATTCAAGCTTCTTAATGAATTGCACAGCTTCGGCCTCGGTACGCCCACCTTTTTCCTGGATAGCTCGTAAAACTATGTTTCTGACATCTACAGCCATATTCTTTGCATCACTGAAAATTGAAGAAGAATATTTGAAATGTAATTTTTTAATCTTTTAAAGAAAACAGAAAAGAATACATTGAATTTTAAATTTAACCTCTAAGTTTCCTAAGGGGCATTGCTGCAGTTTTGCGTCCATCAAAAACACACTGCTTTATTCTTATTTTGTTAGGTTCCTAAGGATATTATATCCCTAAACCTGACTGTGTTTCCGTTCAATAGTGTCACTATTGCAATAAAAGCATTTCTTATAGATAATTTAGTTTTGTCATCAATAATAAATTCTTTACTGGCTACTAGACATGGGACAAAATCACAGTCAACTCAAGTGAAGTGATTATCATTAGATATTGCGTACGTAGGTTAGGGTTACATGGTCTGAAAACAGCTTATTGGCAACAACGCATGAGTAAGTAACTCATGCGTTGCAGCCAATAAGCTGTTTTCAGACCATGCGTAAAGATCCTTTTTCGCCTATTTAACAGTAAATCTAGTAATGATTTTATATAACCCTAACCTACATACGAAAAAAACTAATGATAAATCACCGTTCACTGGCTACATTTAAATTCATGTAACACATCAGGACAGGCTTTCATAAAAATAATTAAAATAGATATAACAACATTAACTTACCCACAGATGTAGAAATGTCCATTACGGTTGCCAATGATATCCCATAGCTGGTCCATATTTTTTTCTAGTAAATGAGTTACATATACTTTTTGAGGTTGGTCACGAGAAAATGCAACATGTAATGTCACATCACCATTCTTTTCATACTTGTCGAGCTCCTGTAAATATTAATAAATAAAATAAACAAGGTGACCAAATCAAGTAAACAGGAAAATTGTATAACAGTACATACTTCCTGGTAGATATAATCTTGGTCACGATGTCTGCATCCAAAATAAAGAATGTTGTCTCCAACTTCCTTGCCGTTAAGGCGAGCATGTGCCCGTTCTTGCAGAAATCCACGGAATGGAGCTAAACCAGTACCTGGTCCAACCATGACTATTGGTGTCTGAGTTTGTAATGGTAATCTATAAAATAATAAACATAAATATAACACAATATTCAAAATAATTTCTTAAACTTTTTATTTTTTAAACAACAAGCATAATCTCATGGTAAGTCGATACTTATTGACTTACGTGTGAAACGGAAGTTTCAATTTTTAAACAATTGATAATATTATTTGTTTTTTCATTAACTTGATCTAATGTTTAATGTTCTACACACCTAAACTGTGACTTTCTGATGTATACGGGCACCCGTGGAAGAGGTTTCCCAGGCTCAGGTTTATTTTCTGCCAGCCAAGTAGTCGTTACACCTTTGTTAACACGTCCAGTAGGTGTTTTATACTGCACAACAACTGCAGTGACATGAACAGTTTCTGGATGAAGCTAAAATTATCAAAATGTTCAATAGAATAATGGTCACAAACATAAAAGGTACTCTAAGAGTAACACAAAACTAAAAGATTAATTAAGTGACATGAAGATGAAATAATTTACCTTAGGACTGGAGGAAATTGAATAATATCTTGGCTGAAGACGAGGTAGCAATTCACAGATGTGATCCAGAGGTGGTTTACATGATTTTAAATCTTCCAAAATATGGACAATATTTCTACAAGCTTCGACAACAAATGATTGGTACAAAGCCTTGCCCTCTTGAGAATTTGTAGCCATGAGTAGTAATTTTTTCTTATCCTGAAATTTCGTTTCAGAATTAATATATGCATTTAAAGACTAACTATATTTGTACAACGTGTCCCAAAATTCAACGATAAGCCGGAACCGGTGTATGGTCGGGTCAATAACCACCCATGGAAAAATAATAAAAATAAACCAGCTCTTTTTTTTTCAAAGTTACATTAACTTTTTTGAAAAATGTTGTAATTTGATACCCTACACCCTATGATTAGATACTGTGGTTACAAATGTGAACATATCCCCACATTTTTTTTGTATTAGCTACCTAAGTAACATAACTATTAATTGCAGTTCCAAATAGGACCTATGCATTCGTAGTTTTTAATATAAAAATAAAATAAACAATCTTTTTTCTTGAAATTTTTGAATATTTAAACTTTTAATCAACTTTGACATGCTACTGTGTAAAAAAAATGTATGAAATGTACTATGGCATGTTAATACAAAAGTTAGCGCAACTCATCACAATTCTAAAATGGTGCAATACTATGACAACACTTGTAAAAATTCTAAGAATTCTATTATCAAGACACAAAGAGGATTATTCAGTTTAGTTTTTGAAAACATTACCTACTGTTCAAAAAAGGGTTTTGGGTGGCAGATTCAGGTAGAAAACCGTCATCAATGACAGATTTTGAAGTGCGAGTGAGATAGATAATTATACTTTAGATAAATTAGTGAGACAAGCAGTGACGCTATCATAGATGGATGGCCGGCGTTTCTGATTGGTTAAATTGGGAGAACCGCCGGCGGCTAACTGAACATTGTAATTTTGTTTGGGTCAGTACGTTTCCATAATTCGTTTACTGCAGAAGAAATGCAGTCAGACCTAGGTCAAATCGCGAAGAAGAAGTACTGGAAGAGATTGTAAATGACCATAACACTTCAGTCCGTGCCATAGAGGAATCTACGGGAATCCCAAAAAGTACCACCCAGCGTATTCTGAAACGTGAAAGATTTCATGCGTACCACGTAAGACGTGTGCAAAATTTGTTACCCCGGGACTATCCTGCTCGAAAAGAGTTTTGCCATTTGATGATTAGGAAGAATGCCGAGGATCAAGAATTCTTAGATAGGATTTTATGGTCAGACGAAACAACCTGTAAAAAAGATGGTTACTTAAATCTTCACAATTTACACAGTTGGAGCGTGGAGAACCCGCACTTAATGCGAGAAGACAAGTCGCAGTATCAGTTCAAGATCAATTTGTGGACAAATGGTCAGATTATCGGTCCATTTGAATTGCCAGCAATTTTGAATGGCGAAACTTATAATCTCCTAGAGGATGTACCTTTAAACGTAATAAGAGATATGTGGTACCAAAACGATGGTTGCCCAGCTCACTACGCACGTCCAGTGAGAAATTATTTGGACCTAGAATATGCAGATCGATGGATCGGTCGTCTAGGTCCCATTGCATGGCCGCCCCGTTCTCCGGATTTAAATCCACTGGATTTTTTTTACTGGGGTTGCCTGAAAGACAAAGTCTATGCCAAACCAATTGCAACAATTGACGAACTGCGTCAAAGAATCTTGGAGGCTGCAGAAGATATGAACAGACGGGGATATGCGAGACTCATTAAAAGATCATTTTTAAGGCGTTGTCACGCGTGTGATGACGCAGATGGTCAACAATTTGAACATTTAATTTAAGTACGCAATAAATATCTTAATTTCTCATTATGACTTTCATTGAAACAGTCTTAAAACCCTTTTTTGAACAGTAGGTAATGTTTTCAAAAACTAAACTGAATAATCCTCTTTGTGTCTTGATAAGAGAATTCTTAGAATTTTTACAAGTGTTGTCATAGTATTGCACCATTTTAGAATTGTGATGAGTTGCGCTAACTTTTGTAATAACATGCCATAGTACATTTCATACATTTTTTTTACACAGTAGCATGTCAAAGTTGATTAAAAGTTTAAATATTCAAAAATTTCAAGAAAAAAAATTGTTTATTTTATTTTTATATTAAAAACTACGAATGTATAGGTCCTATTTGGAACTGCAATTAATAGTTATGTTACTTAGGTAGCTAATACAAAAAAAATGTAGGGATATGTTCACATTTGTAACCACAGTATCTAATCATAGGGTGTAGGGTATCAAATTACAACATTTTTCAAAAAAGTTAATGTAACTTTGAAAAAAAAAGAGCTGGTTTATTTTTATTATTTTTCCATGGGTGGTTATTGACCCGACCATACACCGGTACCGGCTTATCGTTGAATTTTGGGACACGTTGTATAAAGAGATATATTAACTGTCAAGTAATGTCTTACTTCTTCATCAGAGCAATATTCAACAAGCTCCCTTAATATATGAGTACGCGGCAGTGCTGTAATCTCCACGTAGTGGGAGAGGGCAGTGCGATAAGACGTTGGGCACGGGAATGGATGTTTTTTGCTGCTTTCTTGATCTGTGTTGATTAATGAGAATATTTCATCTAAATCGGATCCTGTAAGTTCACCCAGCCTTTCAACTAGATTGCTGTCATTGATTGGGTAGATGGCCACATGATCACCTGCAAAAATAATATTACATTAATATCACACAAATTTCAGTAACATTTTACACTCAGTTCCAGTTGGTCACTTTTTATTCTTATGTCACCTTGGGTTCATTTCTGTATGGCGTATATCATATTAACTGAACTGAAGGTCACATTGGGGTCACTGCAAAGAGAAGGAAAACTTGAAACAAATCCTTTTTATTACCCCGCAAGCCGTCATCCCACTGGCCAGGTTAGTATAGTAGAACAAAACCTCCTCGCCAAGCAGAGGCCTATGTCCAGCCAGTTGACGACTAAAGACTGATTTTCTAATACAGGTACCTAATGGTACAATCTATTAGCCACTGGTATAATTGCTGTGTAGTCTGTGTCCATACACATATAATACACATAAATATAAAAACAAATATTGTAGGAATACAGTACTTGGAAAGGCATATGTTTTTAAAAGAAAACATTGTTGTTTTACAATATATTTAAATGGATTGGATGGAAGAAAATTTCAAAATTCCACTTAGACATGAAGTATTGTAGAGCTCCAGAACTAACCTGCTTCATATCGCATCTTTGAGTCAGAAATATCTAGCTCCACATGGAGGCAAGATCGGTCTCCACCTTTGTGCAAATCCTTGTTTACTGTTATTTGTGCTAAGAATGGGTTCTTGGCATCATATGGCCTGTAAATATTATATTCTAATCAATATTTAATATTTAAATTACAACATACAAAATGTCAAAATTGATTACTAACGGTCTCTGAACTTGCAGAGAATGAAGCCTTGCAATTTCTCCAGTAAACACATTGTTAGGTTGTATTTCACCAGGTGTATGTGTCACTAAGCGGAACTGACGTGTTAACTCTTCTTCCCCTGTGCTCTCAATATTGAATTTTTCACAGACAGCAGGCCAGAACTTATCTTTCCATGTAATGAAATCATCTTCAATACTGTAATAAACAGCAAACATTCATAAAAAAACTTAAATGCAAGTAAATTAAAATTAATAATGGATCGGCAATTTCTTAGTAAATAAAATTCACATTACTTTGCGTCATCATCCCCGAGACCAAGTTCGAACACTCTCGTAGCTCCAAGTTCTTCTAGCCTCTTGTCTAGATAAATTGCAACTTCATTATAATGTTCGTATGTTTTATTGCCAAGGCCAAACACCTGAAATAAAAGGTTTTTTTTACATGCTAATAGTACACACAACATCACTTCATACAACAGGAAAAATCATACCACACTACGAAATTTCAGTACTGATGAAACCAATAGTCTTCTGTATCCAAAAATTCGGGGTAAATTAAAGAGCATATTCATAATCAGTCAAAATATTATACCTAACATCATACGTTACAACTACATAAATAAGAAGTATTTGAAAAAACACATTGTTTCATAATAATATTGACTTTTAAGGTTATGATTTACGTAAAGTATTATGAATTATTCTTAAATTCGCAATGATTATTATTGAATGGATAATTTTAATATATTTAGATAATTTTTAATATATACCACTTGCTAATGTCATTATTTACACAGAATAACTCTTAAACAAAAATTAAAATGACCAATATTCGTACTTGGGCTTTAGATCGCCTTCAAATAATTGACAAAGATACGTAAATGTCATTTATATGACACTGACAATTTTATAATTACACAACACAGGAATGACTAGCACTATTCAATACGTGCATACGTAGTATGAGGAAACAATTTAAATTTTAATATCAATAAATAATGGTAATAATTTTCACCTCTTTTTCTAGAGTGCCACTTTTCAAAAATCAGTTGCTTCATAGAGCGCCATCTATTTATCGACTAGTGTAAAACGTCTAACGTAGGTACTATGTTATATGTATATATGTATATACTATGTTGGTAAAATCCATTTAAATTATATTTTGTAATATTTTTTTACAATTGATTAATAGGCTTTCTAGCATAATTTATGTTCTATAGCGGATTTATATTTGTTAACACTGAAGTCTTGAATATTACTTAGGAATTTATCATAAAATCGGACACATTGACCTCGAAACGACTTGTTTATCTTTTGGAGCCTAGAGGCAGGTACTACAAGTTTATTTCTATTTCTGGTATTTATAGAATGTACCTACATCACTTTTTTTCAAAAAGCAATCCTTATTTTTATGAATATAGATATTAATAATATTCATTTTCATATATAAATTGATATGCCACTGTCATTATGTTTATTTCTTTAATTTTTGCCTGAATGAAAAACAATTGCCTAAATTATAAAGTGCTCGAATCGCTCTCTTGCAGTACAAAAATTGTTTGAATGTCAGCAGCATTCCCTTGAAAATAATTCAAGTAAACAAGTTGTGCTGTGTGTATCAACATCAGAAACTCTCGAATTTTCTTATGCTGCTGAGCTGAGTGTACTCGATAATTTATCAATATAGCTACAGTGGGGCCACTGTAGCTTAGAATTTAGTGTTATACCTAAAAATATCGTAATATCGACAAGGTCGAACTCGACACCCTTAATCGTACTTAACCTTCGTATTTTTTATGGCTGAGGAGATTGCCGAGATGTTAAATGGACTACTTATTATTACGATTCGTATCAGGAAAGCGACCGGTCGGTTTAGGTGTTCTTTTTGGTTGTTGTGACGGCAGTTGATGTGCGACTTGGTTTGCAGTTACCCACCTGTTTTGTATAGCTTTTGGGGGCACTTTGGTCAGTTTATGGATAGTAGACCACGCTTTCTTACTGCTATGGGTTAGATCGATAAAGGTGATGTTATATATATACTATTTAAATCGGCTCACGTCGTCAAATTAAGAACCTTCTTTGCTAATCCATCCTCGATCAATCCATCCATCGAAATTGATAGAAGTTGATTCTATGCAAAAGTACTTAATAAATGAACGTAGTGGTGCGATGAAAGGGACTAATTTTATAAAATTTCAATTTACCTAAAATACATTTTTTATAAAAAATAATAATAATAGGTACATAGTAAAGTTAGATTTACGTTTTTCTTCTTCTTGTTTAGTGTATATTTAGTCTTGCTACAAATGCTAACTCTTCGTCCAATCTACCGGTAACGAGGACTGTAGCTCTATAAGAAAATGTTTATTAAAACGGATACTACTATTTGATACATTTATATAAGGTTTTGACACTAACAAAATGAAAACAGCGTAATGTTTGAGTTTAGCGTAAGGTTAGTGTGTTGTACAGCAAGAGTCATCTCGTCTTTTTGTAAGTATCAAATGAGTATAATTTAATATCGTTTAATAAGTTTTATACTTAATTTTAAAGTTTATCTATATTAGACTATATTATTATCATCTATCAACGTTATTTTCAAGGGAGGATTTACCGATTTTACCTAATGCAAATCTATTTTAATCAGTTCACCTGTACGTGGAATACTTATCGTAAATTACCGATGTGTTATCTTATCAGTCTTAATTATTATCATAAATTATATAAGTAGTATAAGTATTTAAATATGTACTAGGTTTACATGTCTTTATAGGTAGGTACTTAGCTGTTCTGCCGTGCCAATCCAAGAGACTGTAACTCGAATTCCGGGTCCGTGTGGTGACGGATTAAGAATACAGAGTGTCACCACCCCTATTCAACCCGTGGGTGTCGTAAGAGCCGACTAAAGGAAAAAACACTGCAGAGAGAAGGAAAACTTGAAACAAACCCTATACCGTCTGGCCAGTGTGGTATAGTAGACCAAAACCTCCTTTCTAAGGAGAGGCTTATGTCCAGCAGTGGAATTTTAAAGGCTGTTGATGAACTCGAATTACAGTGTTTTGCCTTAACAACAATCAATCAGTTTCTTTAAGTCGGTTTAGTATCCCTGATCAACACTTTTGTTATTCTAAAGTGTATTTTCGAAGAGACAATAAAAATACTGTATTCTATTGAAATTAGGGTTTTAAGTTGGTAAAAAACTGCAACTAAGCTTTCAAAGTCAAAAGTCGTTTTCAAAAGTACAGTGTATTGGATTGGCACGGCAGTGTTGCATACGTTTGAGTCGTATCAGGTTCCTATGAAGTTGGAGGTTAGAAATTAGAAAGCGTATTGTACCTACTGCCTCCCGGGTGTTTAATTTTTTCCCAGTTATAAAATCATCTAAATTCTGAAAAAAGTAGTTACTGTTGGGGCAAGGTTCGGTGAATACGGTGGCTGACGGAGAGCTTCCAGCGGCACCCGGGTCGAATTTTCATTGCAGGTAACAAGCGTAAGTCGCGCTGATGGTCGATTAGTTCGTGTGGCACCCACTTATCTAGCTTTATATCTTTAGAATTTGACGAGGGTGCTTCAATGTTGTTTTGACACTTACTCCAAAACCCGCAGCAAGCTCAGCCGTTGATTGAGATGGATCCGCCTTCACTATCGCCTTCAATTCTTCGTTGTCGACTATAGTTAATGGCGGACCGCGAGGCTCGTGTTTTCAATAAAAAAAAAGCCATATCTAAAACGATTGAACCAATAATGGACCGTTTTTATGGAAGTCATGTTAGGTGTTTCCACGTAGGAACTCAAATTCGAAAATTGTACGAATTTTCAGTTTATCCACGACGCCAAAAACTACCCACAATTTCACAAAAACCAAACACTAACTAAAACAAGTGAATTTATTTTAAATTAAAATCTCCAACTTCATAGGTAAAGACCTATTACTATATACTATTATAGTAATAGGTATGTGGGTGGCAGCCTCTCGTTAGTTATGTCTACTTACGAGTAAGTGCGTATAGTGTTTTCACTACTACTACACGAACATTCCACAATTATAACGATTAGATCTCGTTGCCGCCACGTTGCCATATTTAGTATACCTTCTCATAATTAGGTTTTTAGTTTTGTTGACGCAGTTGAGGCTATCGCATCAAATGACTTGACGACATACTTGGAAAGTATTTTTGCATCAATAAATTAATTATTGTACAGTTAGCCTCAAAAAGAAGTATACGTGAACAAAGTTCCATTACCATGTGTACATTCACTTTACTAGGATATACTGCGCCACTGTTGTGACAAAATAAAGTACTAACAGTACGAAATTACCTATTTCTCAGTACTAGCTAGTGTTTATTTCATAACACAATTATGTTATGACGGGCCTGTTGGTGTAGTGCTTAGTGACCCTGACTGCTAAGCCGGAGGTCGTGGGTTCGATTCCCATTCAGAACAAATATTGTGTGATGAGCATAATCACTTGTTCTGTCTGGGTGTAATTTATCTATAATATGTATGTATTTAGAATTACATAAGTATGTTTATCACCAATCTGGTTACTATAGCACAGGCACTGCCAGGTTTGGGATCGGACGGCCGTGTGTGAGATATATTATTATTAATTGTTATAAGGGACACACAAAACAAAGTTTTAAAACTGACACGTTTATAAATTTTCGCAGAATTGGCAATATACTCTGTACAATCATTGTTTAATTACTATAATGCAAATGTGAAAAAGCTCATGAAACTGTTCACGTATACTTTCTTGAGGTTGATTGTACCTGACATGACTACCAGCAGATAGTTTTTGTAACTTACAATAATAAAACTAAAAGATTCAACTAAGGTTTACTGTTTTATTACTTTGTCTAACTATGTTTAAAATGTCTGATGGATTTGTTAGGAGTGGTTTCATAGCAATGAAACCACTCCTAACAAATCCATCAGACAAAGTTTTTATGAACCAACCACGTAACGTGCTATTTGACAAATAGCACCTTACGTGAATGGTCGAGATGATTCTAAATAATGTTGATTCTGATTTTGCTTGCATTAGATATATTACCTTTAATACAAAAACTAAATATAATAAATATAAAAGACAATTGATCTGAAATTGCCTTGAACGTAGTTTATTATTTTGATGAGTCAAAATATTGATAATACTTACCGCATAATTTAAACCGACTAAACTTGGTTCGCCGTTCTTCAACCATTCATAGAATTCCATAGAATTATCCGTAGGATCTCCTTCACCATATGTAGCCATACAGAAAACTGCTAAGGAATTGTCAATTTCGTGGAGTTTCGTTAGTTCTTCCTGAAAGTAAAACATTGTTACCATTTTGGAGTCCTTATAACAAAATTAAATAAAGTAGGAGTAATTTTGCCACTTACTAAATAAAATATTGTAAGTATAAGATTTATTTGATTCTGTTGAATATTCGATTCGATAAGAGTAGTGTAGTCCTTGAATACCATTGACAAAATGAGAATATAATACAAAAAGTATCTGTGCTACTAGATATTGTAGTGTACAGTATGTTTTTATTATAAAAAAGGCAATAACTCATCAAAACAATTGTGAAGTATACGGTTAGAATACTGTTATAACCCTTTTCTTCAGGCATGACTTTTAGACCAGACCAGATTACGAAAAACCTAGGTGTCTTGAAATTTGGTTTCGGAAATTTCGGTGACAAAGATTGACCTCGCTATAGTCGGCTTAAAATGTACTTGAAATTATGTAGCAGGGGGAGCAAATCCAGCACGCAAGCTGTCAGGAAATAGCGGAGGCAGTAAACATCAATTACATGACAGTTTGGAATCATTTAAAGAGAGCCACACAAAAAGCCTCAATATTTTGGGTGCCACATTAATTGACTTAAAGAAATCTGATTGATCGAATTGCCATCCGTGAAATGCTGGTTAAACGCAAAAAAAATCAATCCATTTTTTAAGCAAATCATCACAAACGATAAAAAAATCGGTAAAATTATACTATGGGCCGAATATAAAATGCAAGTGATCAGAATTTAAGGCTGGCGGTCTTCCATTAATGACTGTAAAGCCTACAATGTCGACTAAAAAGATTATGATGACTATTTTTGATGGGATTGCAAGGGAAAGAAGTTGCTCAGTGTGAGCTGCTGCAATGTGGCAAGAACTATTAATTCGATTATATACAGTATATGATCTGATGATGAGTTCAGTTCAGTTGAATGTACACATTCAACTGAACTGAACTCAACCAAAGTAGGGCTCTCGGAATCAGCCAACCAACAATTGGACGTGTGACAATGCACGGCCACACACGTCATTAATGACTCGGGTCAAATTTAGGGACATGGTACAGAAGTTTACAATTTCCTTCAGTTTCTGCCAAACTATCTTGATTGTAAAAACAAATTGGCCAACTGAAGCGCCGTTGAAAACACTTGGCCAACAAACCAAGAAGTTTTACACAGCTGCAATTATGAAGCTACCCGAAAAATGGCAAAAGGTAAAGGTAACACTGGTGTAAGTACTCGTATACTTGACTAAAATTGGTTATTAATAAAGTTAACTTGGTTCAAAAACCGCGGAATTTGTATGACCTAAGATATAAATATGTAAAGTACACAGGCCAAAACTGTATGATGTGAATGGATCTTTTACTACATACTTAGAATAAACGGCTCACCTGAAAGCTCAGGTGGTGGAGTGCTTGAAAATAAAAAAGTAACATTACTGTAAATACATTTTTGGAGGAAATTTTTTCGCATTTCTTTTGGCTTATTTAGGTATAAAGTACGAATACTTGTTATTTGTTTAGTAAATAGTTACAATGGCGTATTCCTTAGACAGTAATTTAAATATCTGACTTTTAGATAGATATTTGTATTGTATTTTCATGATAAATACATTCATCTAATTTTATCGAATACTTATATTATAGTAAAAAAAAATGTCACGGTGAAATATTAAAATAATTTCCGCTCGAGTTTTTAACAATGTTAGAACTTATTCTGCCGAATAGTGATATTGGTATGGACAAACCGAAACGAAGTTAATGAAAAGTAATTAAATTTACATACCACGTATCTATCTGAATGAAAGAAAATATAGCAGCCGTTGCAGACTTTGTACATGTTTATAACATATAAATATGTAAATATGTTTAATATAAATTTAATAAAATGTTAAAAGCAAAAGATAATTATTCCAAGTTCCAAGTAATATTGCATTAACAGTAGATACTCAAAGTATCATTCTTCACTACGTAACTACGTACTGCATCTTATATCATCCATTTTGTACCTCTCTTTCTTTCTCATTACCGGTTAATGTAGTATTCGTTTGACTTAAGCTTACTTATTATCTACATTTCAAAAAGAGTGCAACTTACCATATCACATTCCTCAGGGTCAGCGACCATACCCTTCATCTTGTAACGAATACCCTCTTTAGCGAGGCGACCAGCGAACTCTTCTGCAGTACCCGTCTGAGATCCGTAGAAAACAACTAAACTTCTTCCAGAGGATTTTAGTTTAGTTATGAAGGAATTTTCTGTGACTTGGATGGTTCCGGCAGCCCTAAGGAACAGGATAAAATAAGGACATGGTCTTATAAATTATTTTCGGAATTATCTACGAATGTTGCTCATCTTTCGGATTTTAATTTGGTTTATAAATCCTATGCATTCGTATCGTGACCGTAAGAATTCTGTAAAGGCTGACGTATCATTGTTCACTTGATCTACTTGCTATTTCGATAAGAGTTTCTATAATTTTGACAGTCAGTATGTTCGATGCCCGGGTCGCATCAAATGCTTGTATGATCTGCAAATATGTTTCGGAGTTTGGGTATATAAGTATCCTATATGCCAATCTAGCTTTCATAGTACAAGCTCTGCTTCGTTTGAAGCTAAATGGCGTTGTGTGTTAGATGAACAAAATATTGTTTTTTTTTGTTATATTTTACTTGGATTTTAATAACGCGATAGTGAAAATGGAACTATTCGAATTTGAAATCGAAATGCGAGTAACATTTGTACTTCAAAAGCGTTCGGGTAGAACCTTATGATAATGATATGCATCAGGGTTACTTCTCTTATATTAACCTAACGTTCAGAACTCCGCTGGCAGGGCGAGTTCGCACACTAGCAGGTGCTTTGGTACAAAAACGAAATTACCTAAGGTATTACGAGTATACTTTAGGTATTTTGGTTTTTGTATGAATATTTTGGTTTTTGTATATACATAAATACCTAAGGTATTATACCTTTTTCGTTTTTTGTATGGTAGTGTGTTTGTTACTTAGTAAATTATTATGTTCCGTGTGCATGAACTCTAAAAAGAGTTGTGTATGTATAATGTAATACCGTTACAAAAAAAACTCATTCCCTAATAAAAATGTTACGTTTTGAAGAAATACACATCGTGATTTGCGACGTAGCGAGAGACAAGTAACGACCACAAGCTTGATAATATAGGTCAATAAATTGATAAACTACTAATAGCGGAGCGACGTAATATTTATACCTCATTAAGTACAATACAGTCAGTCAATGAAATGAATCTGTATAAATTTTTGAAATGTATTTTTGACAGTTTTAGAAAAAAAACGGCGTGATGGACCCCCGGTCGGAACGAAATTCCTTTCGCTTTGTGATTATCACGCACATTTAAAAAAAAGTTAAATAATTCAGTTTATTTTTCGCTTTTTAGTGTTTTTGAGGTAGGCAGTTTTTTTGATGTTTTTTTATTGTTTTTTTTCCCATTTTAGTGTAAATAATCATAGGTACGTGTAGGTTGAACTACTTCATATAAGTCGCGAGAGGTAGCAACCTACGGAAAACGACCACCTTAAAATGTTATTCCTGCTGATGCGAATAACTGTGGTGGTTTGATGCACGTATTGAAACTGGGCATAGGCTCCAGAGTTATGTTGAGATGCAACATTTCGGTTACCAAAGGGCCAGGCCCTTATCCTAGTATCTTATCCAAATTTAAATGGCCTGTCTTTCGCCGTGATCAAATAGAATCAAGCAAGTTGCCCGATTCAGTTTAAAAAAAATACTTGCTATACTCTGCCACGCTTCACTCTAGAACATTGTGGTAGCAAAAAATAGATGAAAGCTATCTTTGAAGTATATCGGGACAAAGTTTAAACGCAATCGGCCTTTTTGAGATTTTGAAGCTTTGTGTACAAAACAACTTAACATTTTTAGATACCTATATAAATTATATACATATGTATAGATGATAACGAATTTATTGCCACAAAATCATAAGCGTCTATGTCAACGGTTGTTGACACAAGCGCTATGGCAACTGACCCCGTTCAACATACCCGTAGTTTTTAGTTACTTGATAAACCTATCAGTCTACGGGGATGTTAAACGGAGAATACTACCGCTAATCCTCAGTTACGGTGCATAAACTCCAGGTTAAGTCGCGTGAAGGTGGCATAATGGTGGTGTTGCCCTTTGCGACTAATAATATTAATAAACTAGTAATTAATAAACTAGAGGAGAACTGTGAAAGTAGAACTGGCGCAAATTCGCAGTACTCAACATTACTGATCGTATGGAGATATGGAAGGGCAAAGAGCTGCATGGACGTTTTTATCGGGCCTTGAACAGGCCTGAGGTAGACCAACTGGCTCCTGTATTCTGGCTACGATTCGGTGATCTCTTCGGAGAAACTGAAGGTTTTGTCTTTGCAATTACTGATGATTTTTTTATGACGAATAGTTATCGGAAGTATATCCTTGTGACTGTGGAGTTACCGTACTACAAATATGTGCCCTAAGCAGTTCTTGAAAATGGTCATGCAACGTTGTACTGGGATCGCACTATTATCTCTGACAGGACTATTGTTGCCAATAAACCTGATATAGTGGTAATAGAAAATTTACCTGACTTTTTTTTAAAGCGTTTTGGTTAAGGTTAAATATTTTAGTAGTTTTATACAGTGTAGGAGTGTGTGTAGTTTGTAGTGTTTTCATTCTTTTATTTCACCGCTCAGGCGCCGCGACGCGCTGAGCCGCACCGCATCGTGTGGCCTAAGGCCCTAAGGCGCGTCGCCCACATGAGCTGGAGTCGAGGCGGCGTCTAAGCGCGGGCGCATAAGCGGTGCACCGCTTCTACGTTTCCTTCAGGAATAAATGGCATTGCGCTCACACACTAGAGTCGCGTCAGAGGCGAAGTGGAGTCGAGGCGGAGACGGGGCGGCGGCGCGGCGGAGACGTTGAGGTCAACCGTGCCGCGACTCCACCGGCATTTTGTTTCGTGCATAGATGTGTTTACACTTCAAAGATGCGTGAGGATTTTGAAACCAACGTAAAATTAATTGAAATTGTACGAATAAATCCTTGTGATGATCAAACACGATCTGAATGTTCATTAAATTGGAATGTATGAAGGAAGCATAACCGCTCGGGCCTCGACTCTACATAAACGCCACGCCTCGACCGTGCCTCGACTTACCAGTGGGCGACGCGCCTTAGTCAACTTACGTGCACTCAGTGCATTTCGAAAGCAAACTAATTTTTGTTTATATTCGATTCATGTTTTTTTACTGTGCATAAATAGCTGAATTTATTATTTCTAACTTAACAACATTAAGTAATGAACTTAGTAACAGTCTAATAATTATTTGTAGGGCTGCATTGCGTTTTGATTTTGTACCGTGATTGTACAATTACAACGCTTCAATATCAGACTAACACACAAAGTAATTACAAGATAAAGTGTAAATCAAACAGACTTATGTACTTAATATGAGACCTAACCTTGTAAAATTGTTTCCTATTTTGGGATTTGATAAAGTTGTCATAATTAGTAATGGGCATTAATGCTAATTAGATTTAATTCAATTAATTGCGAATTTAATTTAATTTTATGTTTTAGCATGTTAATTGCTAATGCTAATATGATTTGCTAACATTGCAATTTTGTACGAGGAGAACAAATGAAAAACGATCGTAACGTAGGTCTATCACTAAGTATTAATTTTACATAAATAACTTATTTTTATTATATTTTAATAAAACACAGATCCCTATCTATCATACAAAATACCTATTTACAGTATTTACAACGTACACGTCACATTCTTCATAACTTAAATTACTCTATAATTAAACTTCTATCTTCTAAATAACAAATACTATACAATGGAATAATTAGTCTTCACACTCATATTTAATTGTAAATTCTTAATTAGCAGTTAACAAATTAATTGTAGTCATGAAATTTCGTGAACGTATGAATTAATACGTACGCGTCACACTCTTCAAAACTACCTGAAATTACCTGTATCTACTCTATAATTTAACTTCTTATTAACAAATACTATACGAGTATATGTACCAATTCTATGAACAACTTAAACAATTTAACAAAACACTACGAGAAAATAAAGTCATTCAAAACAATACCTAATCTCCCGGCCACTTGCTAATGCTAAGTCGTAATAAACAAAATATAAAATTCTATGAATTACATTAAAAATATATTTATGCAATAAACAATCCTAAATACGTGCATTTCTTTTAAAATAGTGTAAAGAGTGTGAAGTCTAATTTTTCCATCACTAGTCATAATTTATCACAAGAGAATAAGTAAGACAAAATATTACACTTGTAAAATAACGTGTGTGCTTTAGACCACACGACTGAAGTAAAACTTCTTGGCTATGAGAGAAAGAGAGAAAGAAAATGTGTGCTCGCACCTCTCTCTCTTGCCCCTACAGTAATATACGAAACGTAACTCTCTCTCTTTCTATCTTCACTAACTTATTTCCCCCTTTCAACTAGGGAAGCAAATCTCGCGAGATTGGGGCTCAAGCGAGATCCCGCGAGCTTGTGAATAACTATACTGCGAGATCTCGCCAATTTCGAGATCTCGCGAGATTGGCAGTTTTGTGTGTTTTTTTGCATATAATCACAATATTTGAATAAATTAGGAAAAAAAATATTTAAGTATTATAAGATAATAATTTTTTTTCATTCATTTTTTCAATAGACCTTTATGAATCAAACATTGTTTGACGTATCTGTCTATATTTTTTTAATAAACTTCTAAGTAGTAAACAAATGAAAAAAACAACCCCTATTCTCTTCTAATATCAAACAAGTCTTTATCTTTTAGTAATAAAATTATTTCTTGTGTAAAATTTTACTGAGAGACACCTCGCCCCGCGACCGCTAACCCAGGACGCCGCCTCCCGCGCCCCGAAGAAACCGACAGATCGCAACTCCCGTCCGTGTCAGTCCGCGCTTTGAATAAGATGTTTTATGCTCGAGTGCAATCTCGCTAAACAAGGCCGAGATTCCCTACTTTCAACTTCAGTTAGCCTCGCCCGATCACACTTTTCGTAACGCTCTCGTCACGCATTCACCATTCACACGCATTAAGTCACGGTGCGTAAAACTGGGGAGCAGCTAGTTACTCTATGAGTTTTTTATAAAGTGAACGTAAACAGACATAATATACTTCCTATGACAATATTACATAATTGTAATATATATTATATTGTCATGTAACATATGTATAGGCAGTATTACGAAGTGATTGCTATCCTTATTT